GAACGCACTTGATGGTGAATATCATCCATCCTTTCAGATAACACTTTCACAAACTCTGACACATTTTCAGGCAAGTCTTCATAAGGTGGGCGTCCTGTTAACAGATCCACTGGCAACCGAAGTTCCCGACCAAACATCAACTTTGCTAGATTGTATCCAGTGGTTTCATGCTCTGCTGTCCAAAAGGCCATCAATAGTGGAGGGAGTAAGACATCCCAGTCATCTTGGCGGCTATTACAAAACTTTGCCAATTCCTGTCCTAGTGTCCAGTTGTACTTTTCTACCATCCCATCAGACTGTGGGTGCAGTGGCGTTGTCCTGGTCTTTCGGATGCCAAACAACTTGCAGCATTCTTGGAACACAGCTGATTCAAAGTTACGGCCTTGATCTGAATGCAGTTCAAGATGGCATACCAAATCTGAAGAAGAAATCACTAATAGCCGAAGCTACAGTTGTAGCTTCCTGATTTGGTATTGCATATGCCTCTGGCCACTTGGTGAAATAATCCATCATCACACAAATATACTTGTTTCCAGCACGAGTTTGGGGCAGAGGACCAGCAATCTGGATTCAAGGTCAGCTTTCAGAGAAGTTTGAGGGACTTTGCTGGCACTGTAACAAACCTGGGAACAAGAAAGCTCAATGCTGGCAACTTCAACACAGGGGAGACGATACAGCAGTAAAGGCTGCTACCAAGAAAGGCTGTTGGAACTGTGGGGAGCAAGGACATCTGAGGAGCCAGTGCAAGAAGAATACCACCAATAAGTCAGCTTCAGGAAACCAGTAGTGGTTAGTGCTGAGGGACGCCCACCAACCCCCATTGTGAAAGTCCCAACAGCTAAGTGTAAAATGGCAAGCACACATAGTGTCTACGTGACAGGAAAGCTGGATAGCCAAAGGTGCAACTGTGGTGTGACAAAACATTTTGCAAGGTTGTGGGGACCAGTGTGGGTAACTATCGAGCTCATGGGCATGAAAAACAGACAGAAGGTACACTTGGCTGACATTGAAGACCAATGCATATTAGGATTGGACTATCTACTACCGAGGAAGTGTGTGTTTAACTTCGATAAAATGACGATTCGAAACAACAAAGGCCAAATTCCAGTAAGTGTTGCTGCATCTGTTGATTTGCATGTCACAGCACTTAAATCAACTACAATACCCCCAATGTCAGATAAGATAATTTGGGGTAGGATAAAAAATCTTCCCCATGGAAGCCCGATGCTTAT